CTTAGACTTACTGATATGGAATGGGCTGTACTCCAGGATTTTGAGATCGTACTGGGTGTACATCTCTAATATTGATACCTGTTCGAGGCTAAGTCTTTCTCTTAGGTACCCCATCAAGTACAGACACTCATGTCGAAAGAGCGCACTCCCGTTTTATCAGGCGCAATTCCCGCCTTCGAAATGTTCATGACAGCATGGGAGCAACTTGGGAGAGATCACCCCCACTTGGCCTGATGGACAGATATCGGTATCCAGTGGGCGACAACTTACTACAAGAAAATGGATGATTCGCCTGCCTACGTTATCTCGATGTGTGAGTTAAGGTTCAGATTCATACATTATTTAATAACTTGACATGGCCAGTTCTCAATCCCTCGATACAATTGTCATGGATTCGACGACACTGGGAGCCTAATTATGTTGCCAGGGCCATCGTAATTATCAAGAATACTGTAAGTCGCTCAGTTTGTTATGGTGACAGTACCCTTAATATACTTGTTGCAGATGCAAAAATACCATGACCGTCTTCATGGACAAGCTCAACAACCTACATCTAGTACGGACTCACAGCAACAGAGGCGAAGCTGGCATGATTTAGCTGGACGATATGGGCTCGAAGATATGTTGGAGGTTTTGGGTGCTCCTTCGCCGTCGGGCCAAGGAGTTGAAGAACAGTTTGAGTTGTATGGAAATGGGACGGTCTCACCGCGTGGCATGGATATTATAGGGTTTTGGGCGGTAAGTACAATGTCTCACTATTTTCCAATCTGTGTCACTGATTTGTTTGCAGATAAGCGAGGAAACCCATCAAATATTGTACGCAATGGCGTTAGATTACTTACCCATTCAAGCATCCTCGGTTCCTTCTGAGTGCGTTTTTTCATCCAGTGCCGAAACTGATACAAAGAGGCGAAATCGAATTCACCCTGTTCTAATGGAGGCACTTCAAATGTTGAAATTTTCGCTCAAGCAGCAACGGCTTAACTTTACGGAGGGTTGGGCTGTTACAGAAGATGAACTCGAGTACCATGCAGATGACAACGAAGATTTAGCAGATTTGTTAGGGAAGCTAACTTCGGAGATTAGGGAGGATGGTATAGATATTGATGAGGTAATTCACGTTGTTGGACAGGATGACGATGATTGAGAGGGCTATTTTTTGTTCACTGTAATGTATGCAACCTTACATACCATCACGCTGTACATCTATGTTGAATTTTATTACACATTTACGCTCACTGTACTTAATGCGCGAGTCATCAATTGCGGCAACATTTACCGGCTATAACCGGCTCAAAACCATTGGCTAAGCTGAGCCGAACCGGATTTGATCGGCTCCCGAGCAATCACAAACCAGAACCGGCAAAAGCCGCCGTTTCAGCGAGCTGGCTTGTGGCTAGCCGAGCCGCGGCAACAGTATGTCATGCGCAACGTCAAGGGAACATATCAAACTTGATTGTGTTAGAGCTGCCCCGTGCTGAAAGCTTGACGCCTTGAAGAACTTAGTCTTTGCAGATCAGATCTGGTATGCAAATAATATGTCTGGAACCATAAAGATGGCTGGGCGATAGACTCGCGACCAGTCCTTAGGTGGTGATTATCATTTGTTGTGGTATTGTTGTTGTGGCAAACATATGGCGGAGTGTGAAAAGGAGGATCACCAGTAGTGTTGCTGCAATGGATGCTTGATGGAATTTAAGGCTGGATTTTTCCAGCCTTAAAGTACCTTAATGGGACCTTAAAGCACCCTCCGAATTTGGAAATGTACAAGACCGTCACAAAACTAGTAAGAGGACTACGAACAATATACATAAACTACTTAGATAGAGGTTAATAGAAACTTGTGCAAGTGCAGCGTGCGACACCATTGGTCTTGTCCATGTGACGGAGGTTGCAATTGGAGTAGGAGTTGGTGCCGTTTTTCGAG